CCCCACGCTCTCTCCCCACGCTCTCTCCCCACGCTCTCACCCCACGCTCTCTCCCCACGCTCTCTCACCCCACGCACTCTCCTCACGCTCTCTCCCCACGCTCTCACCCCACGCTCTCACCCCACGCTCTCTCCCCACGCTCTCTCCCCACGCTCTCACCCCACGCTCTCACCCCACGCTCTCTCCCCACGCTCTCTCCCACGCTCTCCCCCCACGCTCCCTCCCCACGCACTCTCCCCACGCTCTCTCCCCACGCTCTCTCCCCACGCTCTCTCCCCACGCTCTCACCCCACGCTCTCTCCCCACGCTCTCACCCCACGCTCTCACCCCACGCTCTCACCCCACGCCCTCTCCCCACGCTCTCTCCCCACGCTCTCACCCCACGCTCTCTCCCCACGCTCTCACCCCACGCTCTCACCCCACGCTCTCTCCCCACGCTCTCTCCCCACGCTCTCCCCCCACGCTCTCTCCCCACGCTCTCTCCCCACGCTCTCACCCCACGCACTCTCCCCACGCTCTCACCCCACGCTCTCTCCCCACGCTCTCTCCCCACGCTCTCACCCCACGCTCTCTCCCCACGCTCTCTCACCCCGCGCACTCTCCTCACGCTCTCTCCCCACGCTCTCACCCCACGCTCTCACCCCACGCTCTCTCCCCACGCTCTCACCCCACGCTCTCACCCCACGCTCTCACCCCACGCTCTCTCCCCACGCTCTCTCCCCACGCTCTCCCCCCACGCTCCCTCCCCACGCACTCTCCCCACGCACTCTCCCCACGCTCTCTCCCCACGCTCTCTCCCCACGCTCTCTCCCACGCTCTCACCCCACGCTCTCTCCCCACGCTCTCACCCCACGCTCTCACCCCACGCTCTCACCCCACGCTCTCACCCCACGCCCTCTCCCCACGCTCTCTCCCCACGCTCTCACCCCACGCTCTCTCCCCACGCTCTCACCCCACGCTCTCACCCCACGCTCTCTCCCCACGCTCTCTCCCCACGCTCTCCCCCCACGCTCTCTCCCCACGCTCTCACCCCACGCTCTCACCCCACGCTCTCTCCCCACGCTCTCACCCCACGCTCTCACCCCACGCTCTCACCCCACGCTTTCTCCCCACGCTCTCTCCCCACGCTCTCCCCCCACGCTCCCTCCCCACGCACTCTCCCCACGCACTCTCCCCACGCTCTCTCCCCACGCTCTCTCCCCACGCTCTCTCCCCACGCTCTCACCCCACGCTCTCACCCCACGCTCTCTCCCCACGCTCTCACCCCACGCTCTCACCCCACGCTCTCACCCCACGCCCTCTCCCCACGCTCTCTCCCCACGCTCTCCCCCCACGCTCTCTCCCCACGCTCTCACCCCACGCTCTCACCCCACGCTCTCTCCCCACGCTCTCACCCCACGCTCTCACCCCACGCTCTCACCCCACGCTCTCTCCCCACGCTCTCTCCCCACGCTCTCCCCCCACGCTCCCTCCCCACGCACTCTCCCCACGCACTCTCCCCACGCTCTCACCCCACGCTCTCTCCCCACGCTCTCTCCCCACGCTCTCACCCCACGCTCTCTCCCCACGCTCTCTCACCCCACGCTCTCTCCCCACGCTCTCACCCCACGCACTCACCCCACGCTCTCACCCCACGCTCTCTCCCCACGCTCTCTCCCCACGCTCTCACCCCACGCTCTCTCCCCACGCTCTCTCACCCCACGCACTCTCCTCACGCCCTCTCCCCACGCTCTCACCGCACGCTCTCACCCCACGCTCTCACCCCACGCTCTCTCCCCACGCTCTCACCCCACGCTCTCACCCCACGCTCTCACCCCACGCTCTCTCCCCACGCTCTCTCCCCACGCTCTCCCCCCACGCTCCCTCCCCACGCACTCTCCCCACGCACTCTCCCCACGCTCTCTCCCCACGCTCTCTCCCCACGCTCTCTCCCCACGCTCTCACCACCACGCTCTCTCCCCACGCTCTCACCCCACGCTCTCACCCCACGCTCTCACCCCACGCTCTCACCCCACGCCCTCTCCCACGCTCTCCTCCCCACGCTCTCCCCCCACGCTCTCTCCCCACGCTCTCACCCCACGCTCTCACCCCACGCTCTCTCCCCACGCTCTCACCCCACGCTCTCACCCCACGCTCTCACCCCACGCTCTCTCCCCACGCTCTCTCCCCACGCTCTCCCCCCACGCTCCCTCCCCACGCACTCTCCCCACGCACTCTCACCACGCTCTCTCCCCACGCTCTCTCCCCACGCTCTCTCCCCACGCTCTCACCCCACGCTCTCTCCCCACGCTCTCACCCCACGCTCTCACCCCACGCTCTCTCCCCACGCTCTCTCCCCACGCTCTCTCCGCACGCTCTCTCACCCCCACGCTCTCCCCACGCTCTCTCCCCACGCTCTCCCCCCGCTCTCTCCCCACGCTCTCACCCCACGCTCTCTCCCCACGCTCTCACCCCACGCTCTCTCCCCACGCTCTCTCACCCCACGCTCTCTCCCCACGCTCTCCCCACGCTCTCTCCCCACGCTTTCTCCCCACGCACTCACCCCACGCTCTCACCCCACGCTCTCACCCCACGCTCTCACCCCACGCACTCTCCCCACGCTCTCTCCCCACGCTCTCTCCCCACGCTCTCACCCCACGCTCTCTCCCCACGCTCTCTCACCCCACGCTCTCTCCCCACGCTCTCACCCCACGCACTCTCCCCACGCTCTCACCCCACGCTCTCTCCCCACGCTCTCTCCCCACGCTCTCACCCCACGCTCTCTCCCCACGCTCTCTCACCCCACGCACTCTCCTCACGCTCTCTCCCCACGCTCTCACCCCACGCTCTCACCCCACGCTCTCACCCCACGCTCTCTCACCCCACGCTCTCACCCCACGCACTCTCCCCACGCACTCTCCCCCCGCTCTCACCCCACGCTCTCTCCCCACGCTCTCTCCCCACGCTCTCTCCCAACGCTCCCTCCCCACGCTCTCACCCCACGCTCTCACCCCACGCTCTCTCACCCCACGCTCTCTCCCCACGCTCTCTCCCCACGCTCTCACCCCACGCTCTCACCCCACGCTCTCTCACCCCACGCTCTCACCCCACGCACTCTCCCCACGCACTCTCCCCACGCACTCTCCCCCCACTCTAACCCCACGCTCTATCCACACGCTCTCTCCCCACGCTCTCTCCCCACGCTCTCACCCCACGCTCTCACCCCACGCTCTCTCACCCCACGCTCTCTCCCCACGCACTCTCCCCCCACTCTCACCCCACGCTCTATCCCCACGCACTCTCCCCACGCACTCTCCCCACGCACTCTCCCCCCACTCTCTCCCCACGCTTTCCTCGAGGTCCCTGCCGCGCCGGCCAGCGGCTGTGAGCGCACGTGGAGCCGCGTCGAGTGCACGAACCGACCAATCCACTGCTGGATGAAGGCTCCCCCCCCCCCCGCCCGTGTCTTACGGTCCAGCCAACCCCACCTCGCACCCGATCTCATTTCGTCGCTCCATCTCTGCGGCGCGCGTTCTCTGTCGGGCCAAGTTGTTAGTCTCGGCCATTCGGCTGTCGGCATCTCTTCTAGCCGTGACGGGTCCTGCCCAAACCAACTCGCTTCTCTTCGCAACCTGCGCGATGTTTTAACCCTCTAATCCACGTCTTCCTCTAATCCACCTGTTCCTTTAAAACCACGTGCTCACACCTTTGTGTCTCACGGTGTCATTCCAAGCACGCGCGTCTGCGTGATGGCGAGGGGAGTGAGAGACTCACTGACGGGAGGGGTTCCTGCGTCAAGCCTCTTTGGCATATTCGCTTTGCAGGGAGAGATGTGCGCGCGAGAGGAGACCCGTGCACCCGGAGAAGTCTGGCCGCGCACAGCAAGATGAACAACTATCGACGGTCTGCTAGCTGCGCATCGGGAGCACGAACCCGCTCGCTGTACTGCCATCTTAGCGGTCCCTTTGCCGCCCAGAGCTTGACCGGTGTCCACGTGATCCACCGACACTTGCCTCCGCGGCGCTGGAGGTGTCCCCTCTGAAACGGTCACTCCACATTCCCATGGCGACTAACAGGTAGTCAGGCCCCGATCTGGAGTAGTCCCGGAAAGCGCTGCGGTGGCGAGATGCGGACGACCTCGCCTAATGTCGAGGAGGTCATGGGTTTGTTCCCGACCCTGACGCCTGTTGTAATTTTGAAGTTTGCATGTCTCTCTCCCGTCCCGTGGTCGCATGGATTTTTTTCCAGGTCCTCCGGGTTTTCCCTTCACATTGAGAAGCGTGCGTTTAGAGTCTTTGACCGCTTTCATTTTCCACTTGATGATGAGCCGCCACTTCATTGGGCTGTCATTTGTGGCAAGGTCGCTTCTGTTAAAGGGCTGCATAGCTCAGTGGGCCTTGCCTGGTAACATACAAAAAAACATGACTCGTAGTTTAATAATCCAGCTTTGATCGCGATGCGTGGAACTTCGTTTTTCATTCAGTCATCATCAAGTGCACGTCATCAAACACCTCATCGTGTTATTTTCGATCACTATCATCAGTCTTTACCAGCTGTCATCGTTTCGTCGCGTCATCATCATCACTACATCGTCAGCATCGTTTCGTAATCTTCATCAAACGTCATCATTGGCCATCATCGCAATCACACCCTCGTCATCGACACCACCGTTATTGTGCTGCCGTGTTCATCAATATTCACCAATCATCATATCATCAGTAATCCTTATCATCATCATGTCATCAATCACCTCACTATCATCACCAACACCATCATCGTCCCGCTCTAGTCAGGTGGACTCCTCATGAGTCGGTGATCCTCCCAGAGGGAGTCACCGCCGCTCATTTCGAATGCGCCGGGCGCTCTCTCGCTTCGCGCCCCTACAAAGATATTGGGGGGGGGGGGAGCGAGCGAGAATGGGGGGGGGGGGGGTGATTGTGGTGCGCCCCGAGCCCTGAGTAATGTACCGGCCCCCCTCTGTGCGCATGCGTGGCCCGGCTCCTTATTGGACCGCGGCGTGAGGGGCGCGCGCCGCACTTCAGCACCTCCCGCGTGGACAGCGCCCACCGTGCCCGTGCGGAGCGGCGCCCTGCCCCCTCTCCCCTCCACACGAGCCCTGCCACCCCACGGTAAGCTGGGGGGGGGGGGATAGGGGGGTCGGGAAGATCAGGGGGGGGGGGAGAGCGTCTCTACTCCGGGGCTGCGAAGTTTCGCTGAGACGCGCGCAGGGCGTGTGCGAGGGGTTCTCGGAGCAAGGGGGTTCGGGCTAGGGTCTGTGCGGGGCTTAGGGTCCGGGTAAGGGCTAGGGGTGGTCTGGGCAGTGCACAGGCGATGCTGTAAGCCTGCGGCTTCGCTCAGAATGAGCTCTCGACGTGGCCTTTGCCCGCACCTGTAGCTACCGCGCGTCTGTGTGCGCGTGTCTGTGTGTGTCTCCGTGTGTGTCTGTGTGTCTCCGTGTGTGTCTGTGTGTGTCTGTGTGTCTCCGTGTGTGTCTGTGTGTGTCTCTCTGTGTGTGTCTCTCTATGTGTGTGTCTCTCTGTGTCTCTGTGTGTGTCTGTGTGTGTCTCTGTGTGCGCGTGTCTGTGTGTGTCTCTGTGTGTGTCTCTGTGTGTGTTTCTGTGTGTGTCTCCGTGTGTGTCTGTGTGTGTCTATGTGTGTCTGTGTGTGTGTGGCTCCGTGTGTGTGTCTCCGTGTGTGTCTGTGTTTGTCTGTGTGTGTCTCTGTGTGTGTCTGTGTGTGTCTCTGTGTGTGTCTGTGTGCGTCTGTGTCTCTGTGTGCGTCTCTGTGTGCGTCTCCGTGTGTGTGTCTCTGTGTATCTGTGTGTGTGTCTCTGTGTGTGTCTGTGTGTGTCGCCGTGTGTGTCTCCGTGTGTGTCTGTGTGTGTGTCTGTGTCTCTGTGTGCGTCTCTGTGTGCGTCTCTGTGTGCGTCTCCGTGTGTGTGTCTCTGTGTATCTGTGTGTGTCTCTGTGTGTGTCTGTCGCCGTGTGTCTCCGTGCGTCTCCGTGTGTATCTCTGTGTGCGTCTCCGTGTGCGTCTCCGTGTGTGTCTCTGTGTATCTCTGTGTGTGTCTGTGTATCTCTGTGTGTGTCTGTGTGTGTCTGTGTGTGCCTCCGTGTGTCTGTGTGTGGTGCAGCGGTTTGCGCACTGTGCTAAGAACCTAGCGACGCAAGTACAATTCCCGCTCACGGCCAACACCACTGATGACGTGACAACGTGACACTTTTTTGCTGATTGGCCGTGTCGGGTGGTGGAGGGTTACGACACATTTATAAATAACGCGATCTAACCCAAAAACCTTTATTATGAACCACTGATGATTATCTGAACCGGTCTTGGGTCTCTTCTACGTCGACTCGGCCTCAAATTAATACCCGGTGTGGTGTGTAAACACACACACCTAAACACACACACCTATACCCTCTGATGAGCACAGTTGGCTACGTATGGTGCAAAATAAGTTTAGCATGCATACATGTGCCATGGCGGGCTTCAAAGGTGCTCGTGAACAGCACTTGCTCCAACAGTCTCACAAGCTATGCGGGGATATTTGTTTGTGTTGTGTGTGTGTGGCTTTGTGCATGTGTGTGTACGCATGTATGTACGTGTCTGTGTGTGTACGCGTGTATGTACGTGTGTGTGTGTACGCGTGTGTACGCGTGTGTGCGTGTAGGTGTGTGCATGTAGGTGTGTGCGTGTGTACGTGTGTGTACGTGTGCGTGTGTACGTGTGTGTGTACGTGTGTGTGTGTGGGGAGCGGTAGTGCTGGCCACCCACCCCCTCGTGTACCGTTCCGGCCTTCATAGGTGCTCGCACAATCTGTTAAGGCTATATGGTGGATCTTTGTGTGTGTGACTATGCAGGTGGGAAGCGGTGACGCGGCGGTCAGTGCGCTGCCCTCCGAACCTGGCGACCCGAGTTTGGTTCCCGCTCATGGCCAAGAACCATTGCCGATTATCCGAACCGGATAATCGGCTCAGCCCTGAATGAGTATGCTGTGCAGAGTGTCAACATCAGCACTGCAGATACAAAGGCGGCCGTGGGCGGTTCTAGCCTCAAACGCCGTCGCTTGCCATGCGTGTAACATGCGTGTGCCATGCGTGTGTCATGCATGTGTCATGCGTGTTCTAGAGGATGTGCACCAAGAGTCTGTTTAGGCTACACGGGGGATCCTTCTCTTGTGGTACGCATGCGTGCGACTTACTCTGTGAGCAAAGACAAACATCCCCCACAGAGGCTGTTGGGGCAAGTGGTGTTAGCGAGCACGTATTAAGGCTGGCAAGGCACACGAGGGGGTGGGCGAGCGACACCACGCCCCCCCCCCGCCTTTGTCTCCACAGTGCTGACGTTACCTAGGGAGAGCCCAAGACCGGTTTAAATATTCGCCGCTGTTTATCGCCGAGTTCGTAGCGAAGCGCGCTCACCGCTGCACCACCGCTCTGGGTGCTGTCGGGACGCTCTAATTGAATCCGCTTTGCTTCCTGCTCGCAGCCACCTTAAAGGCTGTGGCTTGAGCCCCGTCGAGCGGGGTCAGCGAGGTGAGGAACCCAGGCGGGGGTGCCCGAAGGCGGCGCGGGACTGCGGGCCCAGGGGGGACCAGAAGGGACCAGAAGGCACCGGGGGGGGGGGTCACCCCGAGACCGCACGGCAGCATGGGGCGCGTGGTCGAGTGGAGCGCGCAGCCGCCGACTCTGAACGACACCTCCGGCCATCACCTCCAGATGCTACTGCAGCAGCAGCATCATCTGGCGAACGCCTCCTCTAACGGCACGGGAGGCGGCGGCGGCGCGCAGCTGCAGCGACTCTCGCTCGAGTTCCAGGTGGTGAGCGCGCTGCTGGTGCTGCTCGTGTGCGCCGCGGGCATCGTGGGAAACGCCATGGTGGTGCTCGTGGTGCTGACCACGCGAGAAATGCGCACGCCCACCAACTGCTACCTCGTGAGTCTGGCCGTGGCCGACCTCACGGTGCTCGTGAGCGCGGGGCTGCCCAACGTGGCCGAGAGCCTGGCGGGCACCTACGTGTTCGGCCGGGCGGGCTGCCTCTTCATCACCTACCTGCAGTACCTGGGCATCAACGCCTCCTCGTGCTCCATCACGGCGTTCACGGCGGAGCGCTACATCGCCATCTGCCACCCGATCCGCGCGCAGTTCCTGTGCACGGCGAGCCGCGCAAGGAAGATCATCGCGCTCGTGTGGGCCTTCACGGCCCTCTACTGCCTCGTCTGGTTCTTCCTCGTCGATCTCCAGCGGGAGGAGGCCACGGACGGCCTCTACTGCGGCTACCGCGTGTCGCGTCGCCTCTACCTTCCCATCTACCTCCTCGACTTCGCCATCTTCTTCGCGCTGCCGCTGGCGCTCGCCACGGCGCTCTACGCGCTCATCGGCCGCGTCCTCTTCATGAGCCCCATGCCCTCCAAGGGCCCCGGGGCCGCCGCGCAGCGCTGGGGGCCCGAGGACGCGGCGGCTGGCGGCGGCGGCGGCGGCGGCGGAGAGGGCGGGCAGGCGGGCAGGCTGCTGTGCAGTCGGCGCTCCAAGTCGGCGCTCGCGTCGCGCAAGCAGGTGCGCCTGGACACGCCGTGCTGCTGCTGATGATGATGATGGTGGTGAGATGGTGATGATGATGATGGTGGTGGTGAGATGGTGATGATGATGATGGCATATGCGGTAGTGCTCGTGATGATGATGATGATAGTTGTCAAATGTGGTGGTGGTGGTGGTGGTGGTGATGCTGATGATGTTTGTTATAATGTCATATGTGGTGATGGTGATGATGGTAGTTATGATGATGTCATATGGGGTGATGGTGATGATAGTAGTTATGATGATGCCATATGTGGTGATGGTGATGATGGTAGTTATTATGATGTCATATGTGTGGTGATGATGGTAGTTATGATGATGTCATAGTTGGTGGTGATGGTGGTGAGATGATGATGGCATATGCGGTAGTGCTCGTGATGATGATGGTAGTTGTCAAATGTGGTGGTGGTGGTGATGATGGTAATTATGATGTCGTATGTAGTGATGGTGGTGATGCTGATGGTGATGTTTGTGATGATGATGATGATGATAGTGATTACGATGATGATGTCATATGTGATGATGTCCGTGATGATGTTGATGTTTCTGGTGGTGACGGCGACGCTGATGTCCCCAGGTGGTGAAGATGCTGGCCGTGGTGGTGGCGCTGTTCGCGCTACTCTGGACGCCCTACCGCACCCTGGTGCTGGTCAACTCCTTCCTGTCGCCCCCCTACGCCGACTCGTGGTTTGTGCTCTGCTGCCGCCTCTGCGTCTACCTCAACTCGGCGTGCAACCCCGTGGTCTACAGCCTCATGTCGCAGAAGTTCCGGGCCGCCTTCCGCAAGCTCTGCGCCTGCCCGTGGCGGCGCGTGTGCCCGCCGTGCACCCCGGACGGGGCCCCCTGGGCCCGCGGGGCAGCGAGCGCAGCTGGTGGCCGAGGAGGCCAGAGGGTTCGCGGGCGGGATGAGGAGGAGGAGGTTCGGGGGAGGGGAAATCGCGCGCCGCGGGGGGTGAGCGCGTGCACCGCACACGGGAACGGGATCGGGGTCACGTGCGTGACCTTCAGCGAGCGAGACACGGGGGACGTGGAGGTCACGACCTTTAGCATCGCCTAGAGATTGAGGTCGTGACCTCGAGGCTCACCCACAGGCGAGGTGACGACCTCGAGGGTCATCTTGAGTCGAGGTCACCGCCTTGACGGTCATCTTGAGTTGAGGTCATGACCTTGAGGGTTATCTAGTGTCGATGTCACGACCCCGAGGATCATCTGGAGTCGAGGTCACGACCTTGACGGTCATTTTGAGTTGAGGTCATGACTTTGAGCGTCATCTTGAGTTGAGGTCATGACCTTGAGTATCATCTCGTGACAATGTCACGACCCCGATGGTAATGACCTCAAGGGCCGTCAAGAGGTCACGACCTCGAGCATCACGTGGCATTGTATCAGGAGCTCTGGTCGTGCACGGGGCACAGTGGTCGTGCTGGGCTCCTACTGGCAGCAGCACCGGGCACTGCTGCAGCAGGGGCTGTGTTCGCTCCACGGGGGTCACTCAGCCCGCAGTTGTAACATCTGCAGCAGTAACATCAGCAGTGGCAGCAGTAACATCTGCAGCAGCATCAGCAGTGACAGCAGTAACATCTGCAGCAGCATCAGCAGTGACAGCAGTATCAGCAGCAGCTGCCACTGCTGATGCTGCGGGCTGACTCTGCTCTGTGGTTGTCGCGTTGTGACTCCACCTCTGGAATTCCAAATCAACCTCGCGCGGAGCGGTGGCAGTTGGTGGCGGGGGGGGGGGGCGTACGTGCTTCACGGAGCGGTTAACGCGGCAACGGAGCGGTTAACGCGGTAACGGAGCGGTTAAACCGGTAACGGAGCGGTTAACCCGGTAACGGAGCGGTTAAACGGGTAACGGAGCGGTTAACCCGGTAACGGAGCGGTTAACCCGGTAACGGAGCGGTTAAACGGGTAACGGAGCGGTTAACCCGGTAACGGAGCGGTTAACCCGGTAACGGAGCGGTTAACCCGGTAACGGAGCGGTTAAACGGGTAACGGAGCGGTTAACCCGGTAACGGAGCGGTTAACCCGGTAACGGAGCGGTTAAACGGGTAACTGCTTCTCATTCAAGGTTTATTTCGAATGGAATATCAGCCCCTCAAAACATTGTGCAATGTAAAAAATGAAATCAGCTAAAATGTGGATCTCTAAAGCACACTGAAGGGAGAGTAATGAGGAGGAAGGAGACGGTTGGCAAGGAGGGGAGGGAGGAAGGAGGGGAGGGGCAAGGAGGGGAGGAGGGAGGGGGGAGGAGGGAGGGAGGAGGGGGGGAGGAGGGAGGGGAGGGGGGAGGAGGGAGGGGGGGAGGGAAGGGGAAAGGGGAGGAGGGAGGGGGGAGGAGGGAGGGGAGGAGGGAGGGCGGAGGGAGGGGGGAGGAGGGAGGATGGAGGGAGGATGGAGGGGGGGAGGAGGGAGGGGAGGAGGGAGGGGAGGGGGGAGGAGGGAGGGGGGAGGAGGGAGGACGGAGGGGAGGAGGGGGGAGGAGGTCTTTGCGTCTGGCACCGAGGCCAATCGACGGGGACGGGGACACGAGGCGCTCCGTGCATTCCCCTCTCCCGTGCATTCCCCTCTCCCGTGCCATCATCGCGCGCCTGCCATGCGCGGTCCCGGCCAGCAGGCAGCAGCTCCGTGTCCGCTCGGGGTGCCCCGAGGAGTCAGCTCGCCCCCCGTGGTTCCTCAACCCATGAAGCGGCCACGCTCCGTGCCCCCCCCCCCCCCCCCCCCCCCCCCCCCACAACGTAGTCCGGTAACCTGTCTGGTGTTTGGGTTCACCGTGGACTTGATGTCACTGACGCCAGGGCAAGGTCATCCGCGTACGCAGCTCGGCTCGGCTCGGGTCACCCCGGGCGGACACGGAGGAGCCGCTGCCTGTTGGCCGGCATCGCGCACGGCGGGCGCGGCGGTGCGCTCCAGGCACGGCGATGCTCCTCGCGAGCTTCATCGTCGGTGCCTTTGAATCGAGACCGTGTCGACCCACATCTCTCCCCGGGACAAGGCATCGATGTCGGGCGTCGTGACGGCCAAGGCTCTCGCGGTCGCAGCCGCTAGGCGGGGAGCCGCACGCCTGGTCTACGGCGATCACGGATTTGACGATCCCCCCCCCCCCCCCGAGGATGATGCGTGCCCAGGAGTGATGTGGGCCTACGGCTTCTCGCCAAGGTTTGCCCGGTTCGAGTTTGGCCATGCTTTTGGCATGCGTCCAGGTTCCAAGGCTTTAGTTTGTTACAGTTTGTTTGGCAACCATTGGAATTCCCCCATCTCCACCCCCATCGCGACCCCCACTCCACCCCCCTCTCCACCCCCATCTCCACCCCCATTGCGACCCCCATCTCCACCCCCCTCTCCACCCCCATCTCCACCCCCATCTCCACCCCCCATCTCCACCCCCATCTCCACCCCCATCGCGACCCCCACTCCACCCCCCTCTCCACCCCCATCTCCACCCCCATCGCGACCCCCATCTCCACCCCCATCTCCACCTCCATCTCCACCCCCATCTCCACCCCCATCTCCACCCCCATCTCCACCCCCATCTCCACCCCCATCTCTACCCCCATCTCCACCCCCATCTCCACCCCCATCTCCATCTCCACCCCCATCGCGACCCCCATCGCGACCCCCATCTCCACCCCCATCTCAACCCCCATCTACACCCCCATCTCAACCCCCATCTCCACCCCCATCTCCACCCCCATCTCCACCCCCATCTTCACCCCCATCTCCACCCCCATCTCCACCCCCATCTCCACCCCCATCTCCACCCCCATCTTCACCCCCATCTCCACCCCCATCTCCACCCCCATCTCCACCCCCATCTCCACCCCCATCTCCACCCCCATCTACACCCCCATCTCCACCCCCATCTCCACCCCCATCTACACCCCCATCGCGACTCCCATCTACACCCCCATCGCGACCCCCATCTCCACCCCCATCTCCACCCCCATCTCCACCCCCATCTCCACCCCCATCTCCACCCCCATCTCCACCCCCATCTCCACCCCCATCTCCACCCCCATCTCCACCCCCATCTCCATCCCCATCGCGACCCCCATCGCGACCCCCATCGCGACCCCCATCGCGACCCCCATCGCGACCCCCATCGCGACCCCCATCTCCACCCCCATCTCCACCCCCATCTCCACCCCCATCTCCACCCCCATCTCCATCCCCATCTCGACCCCCATCTCGACCCCCATCTCCACCCCCATCTCCACCCCCATCTCCACCCCCATCTCCACCCCCATCGCGACCCCCATCTCCACCCCCATCTCCACCCCCATCTCCACCCCCATCTCCATCCCCATCTCGACCCCCATCTCCATCCCCATCTCGACCCCCATCGCGACCCCCATCGCGACCCCCATCTCCACCCCCATCTCCACCCCCATCTCCACCCCCCATCTCCACCCCCATCGCGACCCCCATCGCGACCACCATCTCCACCCCCATCTCCACCCCCATCGCGACCCCCATCTTCACCCCCATCTCCACCACCATCTCCACCCCCATCTCCACCCCCATCGCGACCCCCATCGCGACCCCCATCTCCACCCTCCTGCACGTCGCCCGTGCTGATGGCGGTGGGATCCCGTGCAGGGAGCGAGGTCACTGTCTTGCGTAAGTTGACCCGGCATCTCTCGCTCGGGGGTCTTGTCGAGTGGTCCTATCGTGCTCTCCACCGGTCTGGAGGCTATGGAGTTGGGCCAGACTATTGTCTTCAGTCGGATTCGAGCAGTGGTCTTTAACCTGAGGTACACGCATCTCCCTGGGGGTGCGAGACGTGGCCAAATTGTTTTTCGAAGGTAAATGATCGAAAACACAAATTTGGCACGTAGGTACATAAATGGCTTTGTTTCATCAAGCCCTCAGTGTTTATTAACTTTGTTTAACGATTGAGAACCAAACGGGTGCAGGTTTCAGTGAAGTTTAAAAATCACTGGATTAGTGGCTCCAAGCCGTCCTGGAAGGATCCCGGTCTGGCGACTCGCGTACGAACAGCCACCAAAGTGGTTAAACACCTACCAGAGCCGTGAACTTAACATGACAGTAAAATTGCTGTGCATAAACAGTTCACAGCGGTGTTCAATAGTTAACAACGTGGTTATGATTATAACAAAGTGGTTGTTATTGTTATAATGCGGTTCTGAATTACGATGTGATTATTGTTTACGATGCGCTCAAGCAGTAAAAAACGCGGTAAAACAAAACACGACCACACATCAGCAGCTCATCAGTTAAAAAGTCGGACGAACGGTGACAACTCGCGGTCACGAGCGGTGGCAAGCACGGCGGAGTTCACGGCGCACGTGAACGGTGACCCCGCGCGGCTCACTGGGTCACCACTCCGGTCACCCGGAGCCAGCGCTGTGAGTACGCAGCCATTAACCTCGGTGAGCCCCCCCCTCCCCCCCTGCCCCCCCCACGCCCCCCCCCATGCCCCAGCCCTCCCCCCATGCCCCCCACGCCCCCCATGCCCCCCTCCCCCCCCCCCCATGCCCAAGTCCTCCCCCCACCATGGCTGTGACTGTGATGATGTCTGTGGTGGTCACGATGGCTGTGACTGTCACGATGTCTGTGGTGGTGAATATGGCTGTGACTGTCACGATGTCTGTGGTGGTGAATATGGCTGTGATGGTGACGATGTCTGTGGTGTGGTGGCGACCATGATAATGATGACGACGATGATGGCTGTGACTGTGACGATGTCTGTGGTGGTGACGATGGCTGTGACTGTGACGATGTCTGTGGTGGTGACGATGTCTGTGGTGGTGACGATGTCTGTGGTGGGGACGATGACTGTGGTGGTGACTATGGCTGTGGTGGTGACGATGACTGTGGTTGTGACTATGGCTGTGACTGTGACGATGATGGCTGTGACTGTGACGATGTCTATGGTGGTGACTATGGCTGTGGTGGTGACTATGGCTGTGGTGGTGACTATGGCTGTGGTTGTGACGATGACTGTGGTTGTGACGATGACTGTGGTGGTGACTATGGCTGTGGTTGTGACTATGACTGTGGTTGTGACGGTGACTGTGGTGGTGACGATGACTGTAGTGGTGACGGTGGTTGTTGTTGTTGTAACTGTCGCTCGTGGTTCGCGCTGTGGTGTCGCGCCGTGCCCGCCATCCCCGCGCCCATCGCTTGCGCAATAAGTGGTTGTGCTGTACGCGATGGTGGTGACGGTGGTGGTGGTGGTGGTTGTGGTGATGGTGGTGGTGACGGTGGTTGTGGTGGTGGTGATGGTGGTGATGATGGTGGTGGTGATGGTGATGGTGGTTGTGTTGATGATGGAGGTGGTGGTTGTGGTGATGGTGGTGATGGTGGTTGTAGTGATGGTGGTTGTGGTGATGGTGGTGATGGTGATGGTGGTTGTGATGGTGGTGATGGTGATGGTGGTGGTTGTAGTGATGGTGGTTGTGGTGATAGCGGTGGTGGTGATGGTGGTTGTGGTGATGGTGGTGATGGTGGTTGTGGTGATGGTGGTTGTAGTGATGGTGGTTGTGGTGATGGTTGTGGTGGTGGTTGTAGTGATGGCAGTTATGGTGGTGGTGATGGTGGTGGTGGTGGTTGTGGTGGTGGTTGTGGTGGTGATTGTAGTGGTTGTTGTAGTAGTGGTGGTGATGGTGGTGGTTGTAGTGATGGTGGTAGTTGTAGTGGTGGTTGTAGTGATGGTGTTGGTTGTGGTGGTGGTGGTGTTGGTTGTGGTGGTGGTTGTAGTGGTGGTTGTTGTAGTGGTGGTGGTGATGGTGGTGGTTGTAGTGATGGTAGTGGTGGTGGTTGTAGTGGTGGTGGTGATGTTGGTGGTTGTGGTGGTGGTTGTAGTGATGGTGGTGGTGGTTTAGTGATGGTGGTGATGGTGGTGATGATGGTGGTTGTAGTGGTGATGGTGGTGGTGATGGTGGTGATGATGGTGGTTGTAGTGGTGATGGTGGTGGTGATGGTGGTGATGATGGTGGTTCTAGTGGTGATGGTGGTGATGATGGTGGTGGTGGTTGTAATGGTGATGGTGGTGATGATGGTGATGGTGGTTGTAGTGATGGTGGTGATGGTGGTTGTAGTGGTGGTGATGGTGGTGGTTGTAGTGGTGGTGGTGATGGTGGTGGTGATGGTGGTGGTTGTAGTGGTGGTGGTTGTTGTAGTGATGGTGGTTGTAGTGATGGTGGTTGTAGTGA